CTAATTAAAAGATTGAAAGAAAGAAATCAATTTTTCTTGTATGTCAAATTATACATGATGCGGCGGAAAAATCTGGAAGCCCTGATGAACGTAACAGGCGCGAAGATCAAATCGAGAAACATTGGATGTCATGTACAGATCATTCAATACTCTCTGGAACCATCAGAAGGATATTCGTCTATCATTTCGAGTGCCAGAATGGTTTTGTGGAATATAACTCGAGAAGGAAATTTTCTTCATTCCTTTTTCTTGAACTGATTTATTTAATTCTTCAATTTTTGTTTTGGTTGTGAATAAGATTAGAAGGAAAGGGTAACGTGTTTTATATGTTATAAGCAATGTTACCGTTAGTTTGAAGTGAATTGACGTATAGTCTTTTGCGTTATTTTGCAATTCAATTCATAGACAATATTTCCATCATACGTTATTGTTATATTTGATAAATTTGTTATTACTGCAAGATAATCAACAAATAAATCTATTAACTGATGATTAAAAATAATATCTCAATAATTCAAAAATGGTACACACTAAAAGCGATAAATTAATAGCAATCTGATCGTTTTCTTTTTTTCTCTGCTGACCACAAATATAAAACATGCGTAGATCAAACTGAGAAGTAAGGTCGATCAAAAGGAGGGAAGAAGTTCTCAGCATTATTCGATAATACACTTGCATATTATCTCGGACTAACTTCGGAAGGAGAGATCTCTCACGTGATTGTTTCTTTTTTTTCTCGAATTGGTGATTGGGAAAAATGGAACGTATCGGATATTTGGTGTTTATGGTTGGCAATATTATAGCAATTTTTAAGTAATCATAATGTAAAATTTCGTGTAATATCGATCGCTTTGCGTTATTATATTTGGTGAATACGTGATAAATTTGTTGATTTTATAGAATGAGCGCTCCCGAAGAACAACTTGACATTTTTAGTGTGTGGGATTATTTGAGAAGGGAGCCTGCAATGCTGCATGTATTGCAGGAGTACATCAATGAAAGAATGCAGGTACTCATTTTCTCTTTCTTTTATTTTTTCTTTTTTTGCTATGCTTTGAGGTATTAAAAGCAGCTCAAATTACGATAGGATTGTTAAAATGTAGCTTTTTCAGGTCGAAATTGCCCTGCAAACCCGCTTGGAGGAGGCGGGAAGGAGGATTGCGGAGTTGGAAGGGCGGAATGCCCAAGAAATGGACGAGGAACCGGCATCTCAGGAGCCGGAATGGGATG